TAGAAAAAAATGGAATTGGTTGTGGGTGGGGCTTGGGGTGGGGGTGGGGCCAGAGAGGGCGGGACGTGAGTCTACACATACACAGAGAAGAAAAAAACTTTTTTAAGAACATGTTATTATTGATATGTTTAGGATTGTTGTTCTATGAAATTATGACCTGAATCTTTTTTTTTTGTAAAGACACTGCGTTTCAGATGTGTTTCCTGCACAACATGAGAGCAAAAAAAAAAAAACGGCATGAAAAAATGAGGGAGAGGAAAAGAACAGTTGGGGTCATGGAGGGATGTTGAAAGTTAGGTGAGAGGGAGGAAAAGGAGCAGAAATAAGAGTTGCATGGCAGAAGTAGAGGGGGAATTTGGAGTCTGTACTCAAAATGCTCTTCTGTCACCAAGGTCAGGAGTGATCCAACGTTGTGTGGTGCCTTCCATTTCCCTGGTGCTAGAAACAGAGCGAGTGTGTGTGTGTGCTTGCGCATATGTGTGCGATTGTATGTCTAAGGTGCCCTTGTGACCCCAGCCTAGACTCACACGCACAGGTGCACACACTCGGCCCCACTCCCTCTGCTGGTGAGAGCGTGTGTCAGCACGACGGTACCGTCCGTTTGGAGCAGGGAGCCCGAAACACGTACTACACAGCACATTAAAAACACTGAAGATTTGCTGTGAGGGAGCGCATGCATAGAATCAGAGGACTAGCCTCTCCTCTGCTCTGTATAAAGACTTTAGTAATCATTAGTAATAATCAGTAATATATCAGCAGCTCTGAATGGAAGGAAAATGGTGATCATAATATTCGTAGTGAAGGATATTATCTATTTAGCTGTGCAGTAAGGTTTTATCGGTGTAAATATCAACACAACTTTTTATTTTTGTCAAGCTTTTAACCATGCTACTGTAGTAAAAATGAAACACACAGACACATATGCTATCGATATCCAATTTTTTTGTCAGTTTAACCTGGAGAAATGCTGAAACCTATGCTCAGGTTTAGTATTTCACCAGTAGTTAGTCAAGCATCTGGTTTTTGTTTTGAAAGCACAAGGTTAGTTTCTCATGGCCACATTCACTTGCAGACAGAGAAATTTCCACTTGCATACATGCCACTCAACAACCCTGATGGACGGTCATGCTCAAGACGGATGTTGTAGGAACGTGTTGATGAGGAACTTGTGCGATTAGGGGCTTGGCACATTATTGCTGTGGGTAGGTGAACGTAAACTTAATGGTTTGGGAGAAAAATAACTTGTCTAACATAAAGATATCTGAGCTGAAAGCCTTTAAGCAGTACGATTTCAGTGATAGTCAAAATTACTGTCACTTTTTCCTCTGTTATTTTGTTTTATTTGATGTTTATATGTCGGGATACATTTAATTCATAAAAACAAAATGACTAGAAATGCATGAATTAGCAATAACAAGCTATCAACAACAGACTCTGTGGTTGACATGCTCAGAATGTATGTGACATGTCATGTGGTGTGATGTCAGTGTTACTCGCAGCTGTAGCACAAGATGTTAGCAAACCGCTGAAATGACAACAACTTGTCTTAACACATATCATTTTAAATATCTGAACATGTAAAATGTACTATATCGAATCTGGGACAGCTTGTGCACAGTATCAGCACTCCGTCCCCGAAATTTCCTTTTTATATCCACAGTAATAGAGAATTATACCCATCCCCGTTTATAAACATATCACTGAGGGTAAAGCTGCCATAACACTGAAACGTGACGTCAACTAACGCTTCCTGGTATATCACAAATCATGCGTTTAGAATGCATGGTGATGATTTTTTTATGTGAGAAACCTACACTCAAGAATATTCAACAGAATGCGTGTACTAGAGCACATTCAAGACGCCACACTGTTCTCTATGGAATATTTTAGGCAGGTGGGGGAAATCTTGAGACCCATACCGGGTGGTTGTACTTCAGTCTAAGATTGTAATGTCACACCTGTGCAACAGTACCTGTAGCTTGAATATTGTACTCTGTTTGATCATGTCCTGACAGTGTGCGTGAGTATGTATGTTTGAAAATTGGCTTGTTTTAATGCATCTGTAAATGTGTTTGGCTCCCCGATAGTTCTTCCGTTGTGGGGACATATTCTCTTCTCCCTGCACTTAAATTGCTATGTGACACTGACAATTGCACAAACACACAAAACATGTTACATAGCCTCACAGTCGGCCTTGTAAATAGGACATAGAGTGATTTGTGACCCATCACATCACACCTTTAATTAAATGACTAAATCATGCGTTTAGAATGCATGGTGATGATTTTTTTATGTGAGAAACCTACACTCAAGAATATTCAACAGAATGCGTGTACTAGAGCACATTCAAGATGCCACACTGTTCTCTATGGAATATTTTAGGCAGGTGGGGGAAATCTTGAGACCCATACCGGGTGGTTGTACTTCAGTCTAAGATTGTAATGTCACACCTGTGCAACAGTACCTGTAGCTTGAATATTGTACTCTGTTTGATCATGTCCTGACAGTGTGCGTGAGTATGTATGTTTGAAAATTGGCTTGTTTTAATGCATCTGTAAATGTGTTTGGCTCCCCGATAGTTCTTCCGTTGTGGGGACATATTCTCTTCTCCCTGCACTTAAATTGCTATGTGACACTGACAATTGCACAAACACACAAAACATGTTACATAGCCTCACAGCCTCGGCCTTGTAAATAGGACATAGAGTGATTTCTGACCCATCACATCACACCTTTAATTAAATGACTATAGTAAGGGCCAGTCTCCTGGACACTGAATAAAAGTTACAGACCGATAATCTGTTTGACCAATATATATATTTTTTTTTTGATTTTCACATTTTCTACTTGGTTGTCTGTTCTTTAATATTCAGTCTACTGAATAAGTACACCATCTAGTAGATGTCTAAAGAATAGCAGCGATGCCATTACACCACTATATGTTCACATGTAAAATAAAGACTTGTAAATGTTTGCATAATTATGCCACTTTTTACATAAAAAAATGAGAAACATGAAGCATTTTAAGCTTGAGACTTAGACATAGACCAAAACAACGATGAACATTAATTTGCAACTGATCTCAAAACAACTAAACAACAAAAATAAATATATTGCAAAAAATTATGCAATTATTAGTATTTATAATCATTGAGAAAATTATAATGCATATGTTTTCATTTAATTATTTTGTAAAAAACAAAAACATAAATGGTCATTAAAAAGTGAAATAAAATAACATTCATTAAAAAAACGTATCTATTAGTTCAGTTTTTGTCTTCAGTTGTGTCTAAGAGACTGGCTTTAACAATCAATACTCACAAAACCTCAGCAATCATTAGTGTCTAATTGGAATATTGACTTGAATAATGTTAATCAATTGCTTACATGCTAAACATATAGTTGCAAGCCTACAATTAGTATGTGAAATTCAGGTATTAAGACATGATGATTGTTTAACTTTTTTTGTACAGATAAAAAAGCTGTTTGTGCTGGAGGTTTAATATTTTGAGCATTCACAGCTTTCACCCCATGCACCACTCCTACAATCTAATCTTGTTAGCAACACATTCACATGTCCTGGTGAAGCCCCCATCTCCCAACAACAAACATGCACCTGTCCATTCGGGAACGTCTGGAGGTCACTGTGTGTTAACGTTATGGACATCAGTGGAACTTTGAGTTTGCATTGCTGTCTTTTCTACGTATTTTTACCTGTAACCTGTCACTCTTTCTATTCATAGCCAAATATGAGGCGGGCCTTCCTGTGTCTGTGTGCCAATCACAGACCAGCATGGTCCTGGTCTGACGGTCACCCAGCGTGGTTTTATACATGCACATTTTTTAAAAGAACTTGTTTTGTTTTTCTTTGTTTTTAATTTTTTTTCCTCATTGGTTGATTTGTGTATAAAGAGGCAAAATTCTGTCACTAATATGCCACTCTATTCTGAATAAAACCTGATTGGTTATCTCTGTAGCTGCTGTGATTTCTTTGGTTAAAAGCCTGATGTTGGCTATGGTGGAATAGCGTAGTACTTTACTATTCTTACTATACTTGTAGTATGTATACTAAGTACTTAGAATTCTGCATCCTGCAATGCAATGCGATTTACTTAAGTTAATTTGCTGTCAAGTATGAACTAGAAGCAAGCAATATCAGGCACAATTTTAACATCATTATTAATTGATCAGGCTACCAGGAGTTTTACACAAAGGTAGAGTGTATAAAAAAATATGCAAAGTAAACTCCTATTTTTGAGAGAATAACTGAATAACACTTGCTGAATGGTGTGATTTTGAAACTTATTATTGGGTTATTAGCTAAAACTAGCTGAGTAGTTAACGAGGCAAGATTTCTCATTTTTATTTAGTTTAACTTGAACTAAAATAACTAAAACTAAAATAACAATTAATAAAAAACGATATAGACAATAAAAAAAATAATTAGAATTAACATGAAAATGAAACATTTTAATAAAAACTATAATAGTACTTCAATGATACTAAAATAACACTGGAATATACCCATAGCTGCAAACCTATTT